CGTGAGAATAGATATTTCTCTATAATTAATACAGTGATAAATTTAAGTACCAAATGTTTAAGAAACAATAAAAGAGAGTAAAGGAATAAAAGATACAGACGAAACCTGCAAATCAGAATACTCAGAATAATCTCCCAGACACTCCATGAGCTATAGAATAAACAACTCACAGCATATCCCCAGGAGAAGTCCGAGCTGCCTTCGGTGGAGACCCCTGTGCCACTGTAACTCGGAAATGCTGACCTTGAATCCCCAGTGTCGGCTGAAGTCAAAGGTGATTCCTGTGTGATGTCAGACTCACTGAATGCATAATTGGAAGGCAAGAAAACAGAAAACTACTTAAAATAATTAAAGAATTGTATTTTTAATATTATGAAGAACATCTACCTAATTCCTACTCATTTCATGGCAGCCATTCCAACTAAGTATTGTAATATTTAACAATGAATACCAACAACTGTATTCTCACAACAAATATGTATTTTTCCCAGCCACACTTTTCTGATAAGGTATTTTTCATAAGCATGCTATGCTAGTTTTTTTACAACAATATATGAAAAATTTAGCATAGAAAGTTTACAAAAATACCTTGGGGTAGGGGAATACCTTGAGGGGAGAGTGCAGTTGGCAAAAAAAAGTGTTATATTTGCATAAAAGTATAGTACAGATTTTTCAGAAATGTTAAAGGGAGATAAACTTTGTGGCACTTTTAGACAGTATGCTTGGGAAAGCAGACAGATGGTCAGAGAAAGAGAGGAAGACCCTCGGCAAGATAGATATAGTGACTGTGGCAATGGGCTCAAGTGTGTCAGGGATGACAGCGATGGTACAGGATCAGACAGAGCTCAGATATGTTGTTCACAGGGTTACTCTTAGCCATACACAAGTCAATGGCACTTAACAACAACAAAAACTCTTACAAATATTATCTTATTTAATCCTCACAGTAACATGGCAACATAACTCAATAAACCCCATTTATTAAAAAACTAAAAAAATTTAAACTTAGTTATAAGTTTTGAAACCCAGATTTTATGACCCTACAGTTTTACTGAATACTCTATTGTTTCTCAGCGGTCTCAAATGATAAACTCCTCTATCGTATGTCTTAAAAACAACAGCAGATATTTACTTGTCTTTTATTAAATGCTACTACCACTGCTAATGGTACATACTTTATCTCTTTATAGGAAGAGAATGAAAGAAAACTAATAGAATGATACAATATGCTTGTAATATGGGAAGACAGGTGAATGATAAATCAAAATTTACTTATTGCCATCATTTCTATGTTATATGCACAGGTGCAATATTTGTGTGAGCACACAATTGTCGAAGGAAGGAAAGGCAGCTGGCAAATGTTATCCAGCTAAACGAATGGTAAAACTAAGATTAAAAATCAGATGTCAGAGACCGCTCTGGTAGTCTAGTGATAAGAAGCTATATGGCAATCCCAAATACAAGTGGTTCGAATCCACTAGATATTCTGCTGGAGAAGGAGGGGATATCTCCTCCTGTGCCAGTCAGATTGGATTCAACAGTACACAACGGGGG